GTGTGTGTGTGAGCGAGGGAAGAGGGGTCATACGCGCAGAGAGACGGTTGCAGTAGCGAAAGTGAAACAAACATCCGGACAACTTAACTTACTTTGAAACCAAAATCAAATGGATCAATCCGATGACAAGAAGCAGTGGAATCAGAGCTGTCAAACCTAGCAACAGACAGTGGAAGGGAATAAGTTGCTGAGCTGCGACCGAGGTGAACTTATTCCTCCTTTCTTGGGGTGCGAGACCTTGCTCGTCCTCTTCCTCTGCCACGGCGGAACTGAAACAACAGTATAACGACCTGTGTGATTTGGTCACACTCAACTGCTCGCTGGTCACAGCAGCAACATTTGAATCAGTAGCCGGATTCAGGTTGTCTGTGGTCGCTAAACTGGAGTATGGTTTTCCAAGGGCGCAACGAAAACCTGACCAACAATCTCGGACACGCTCTCTTTCGACCGAAGTGTGCAATGTGAGCCAATGCGGAACACTTTGCCCTGGAGGGGCATCACCAAGTAACGAGATACGATGCGATGGAAGATACGGGGGTAATGAGTATTGGACCCGATCCATAGTGGCCGGTACAGCACTGCCCAGGGCGTGATCCTGACTAGGTAGGCTGGGATTCATGGTGGTGGTAGTCATTGTGGCCAGACTTGTTCCCATGGAATTATCCGCTCCAAGACCCGAACCAGCGTCAGTTGAATCCGCTAATTCGTTAGCATGAGTCGCGCTGAATAGCGAGGGGTGAATAAAATGTGATTGTTGGACGGGAAGAATCAGTGGCTATGAGTGGTTGGAAGCATTCAATAAAACAGACAAACAATTTACCATTTGCTAAAGTGATCATGTATCAATACAAAAAAGCTATGCATTAACACACTTTCCGCGCATTTCCGGTATACACTTTAGTATATAACGTATTTCTAGCTTACATTTTAACAATGATAACCTCTCTACGTCGTTTGGAAAACACATTTCACTCTGCTAAAGAGACTCGGTTAAATAGTCTCCCGGGTTGAATAGCAAAATTTAAAATGAGCATTCATTACTCATTTTGTGCATATATGATCTCACAGCAGCTGCCCCATACCCATCTATCGAACACCTTCTTATAACATACTAAACCCAAGTCAACAAGTGAAATTTGTAAATGAATCTGTGGACGGAAAATTCAAGTGCCCAACAATTGCATCGACGTGAAAAATAGCCGGTGAAAATAGCGGACCCAGAGATCGGGTAAAACGCCCACTTTTGTCAATTGGATATTAAAAGCAATGAACGTCTTAGCAAAGAGAACTTATCGTAAGTTCTTGGAAAGCAGTCACGCAAACCTCGGGGCATAAAATGGCGAACCGTATAACGATCGAAAAGCGATAGACAGGGAGGGGATTGAGCACTTTGGCGACGAGACGGTCTACAATTAAATTTCCGTTGCGTCAACGGGATGATTTAAACTACTGAAACATCGCCATCCCTTAGATGGGTGTGAGGATAAGACCATTCAAAGAACGACAGCGTGCTGGTAAATTCCATGTCTTATATTGAGGCTTGATAACCAGTGTTGCTGATCTGAAATGATATATCTTCAAGCTGAATGTAGTTAACATGGGCGATACATTAAATTCGCAAAATGAAAAATCGATTGCGGAGAAACTTGACCAAATTCTTTATAGAGAGCGGAAGATGTGGAGATCTGATCTACCCATCCACCTGCCATGTTAATATTTTTCCAGCTTTGAAGATGTATAGTAGCCACGAGAAATCGACGAAACGATTCAGCACAGATTTTTGAGATCTGATGAGATCTGACACAGCACATGATTAAGAGAGTCGTCGGGAATTTAGGATTGTAACGAGAGTGACTGAGGAATTAAATCGATTAACCGGACGCAATCTGACTCACCATTTACCCCTAAGGCGGCCAGCTCGACGCTGACAGGGGACATTTTTGTCATGACAGACACGATCTAGTCCGTCATGCTCGAACGATTTGGCCAGGGTGACAGCAGCCATGGCGAGTAACTCAGTTGTTGATGGATCTCTGACGGGTGGAGCTACTCCAGATTCCGTGGCACTGTGCGTGCTGCGATCTAGTGGATCCAGTGGCTCGGTAGAATCGGGTCCGACTACGCCAGCATGTATATCACTGGAGAGGGTTTGTAGGAGAGCATAGCGAACCTCTTTCGATGTCTCCTCTGATGTATCCGACGGGTCAGTGAACAAAAAGTCCAGAGGTTGTTCGACTGCGGTCGGATGAGCCGTGTCTTGTTCTTGCACCGGACGTCGACAAATCACACTGGCAGAGGAGGATAGACGATTTAGAAAACTGATTCGTTCAAGCGAGAAATCAGTAAGTTTTGGCCAGTCGTTAGGCAAACTCTTAAGCCCCATACTGAATAAATTGGAACGTGCTGGGTCCGGAGAATTGGTAGTTCGCAGAGAAACTGAATCCTGGATTGTAAAAAAGAGAGAGGACAACAAGTAAACTTTGTATCTGTATAACTCTTGCAAGCTGAGATATGCTTACATTTCAGTTAAAAATTGTACACTGGTCGTCACACCGGAGAAAATATAGAAGTATAAATAAATTCGATAGAATGCTGTGTAAAAAATTAATGTCTCTAAAGTTTGATTCATTCAATTAAAGATTGACGTAATTCATTTATAACTCGTTTCTTGTTGGTTAAGATGCGAGCCAGATACGGTACAGTGGAGTTTTTATAAATGTTTATCCAGAAGGGTAGTTACCGATAAGAGGAACGAGTGATCGAGTGGGAGCGACAAGAAGATAAGTCAAAATGCAAAGGATGGGTGGGGTCGTTTGGAATCTTATTGGCAAAGGTCATACAAGACTTCATATGACCATTAATAAGTTCTGTAATTGATGACTCGGCAGAAATTAAAGATGCACGGCTTATTATCATTAATCCACGACGGACGGTTTCAAAGTCTTGTTTCAATAGACCGGTAAACACTACAGGGGAGCAGTAAAGTAAAATAAGGAGAACGCATTGTTTAACAAAAGAGAACTAAACTTGTTGGGGAGTGCGAAATTGTCTGAACTTTCGGAGCTGAAAGGAGAGGCGCCGAAATTTTCCCATACAGTTCTGAATGTGTCCACCACCGAAGATTATTATCGATAGTAACACCCAGATATTTGGCTGAGGTCATTACAGACAAAAGGTTACTATTAAGGGTTACAGAGCCTGACGGGAATGTAGGGCGGGAGAACTGAAAACGCACTCCAAGCACTTGGATGTCTCAAGATTAAGGCCAAACTGATTTGAAAACTGTTCGATTTGGGACAGATTTTCAGTGAAGGACGAAATTTCTGAAGAAGGAGAAACGGTCTGATATAAAGCGACATCGTCAGCATACTTTTGGATATGAGCACTAATGAAAGTATGAAAAAGATACGGAGAGAGGACAGCACCTTGAAGCACACCAGAATTATTGATTAGAGGACTTGAGGTATTACTGCCCAGCTTTGCGCACTGGGTCCTTTCAGTGAAATAATCAGAAAGTCATGAAAGCAGCTGTCTCGGGATGCCAAAAGATTCAAGCTTAAAAAGGAAGGATGACCGGGATACAGAATCAAAGGCAGACGAATAATCGAGAAAAACGCAACGAACAGATTTGGCAGAGCTGTTCAATGACTTGCTTATGAAATGGAACGGAGTAGACACAGCATCTGAAGTGGATCTGTTGGGTTTATACGCGAACTGGAGGATCATGGGTAATGATGACAATCGCAAAAAGATGATCGTTATCAGTGGTCAAAAAACCACAGGCATTCGGAAATATTTGATCGTATATGTTGGGCCCCGAATATTACACACAAAGTAGAACACGGTCAAGTATTATTGGCGTGCCATCCACGATGGACAACATATGGGAACATAAGTTGTGAGGCTGTTTTTGAAGAACGGACTTCCCGCATAGAATCACACACTATTCAATGACCTGAGAAACACCAATGCATCCTTCCGTTATAGCCTGAAGCCGCGTGGACATGAACCCGTGGCCTCGGTGAGTCATTGTGACGCACGATACAGTTCTACCAGTTGACCTACTGACAATGCAACGTTAGCAACTACTTGAACCGAACCTCATTCATCACGTGCTTCCGTATTACAGGCACAAAGTTTAACCGCATTGATAAACACAAGAATAAGACCAGGTCTACTTGACACAGGGTCACGAGGTCACCAATACCGAACATAGGGCCAGGGCCCCGGGTTAAAAGAGGGTGTTATCGCAAAATGCTAGGGTGTCCTCACTCTGTACCCCTCAGCATTCAGCCCTATTCTCCTAGATCATGTAAACTGCCACTGAAGTAACTGGTCAATCGAAACTGACGTCCATCATGTGTGACCTAATCGATTCAATGGACACCAGCTCATATGGCGTTTCAGCTAAATGAAAAGTAATCCTCGTATTTAGTGATGAAGATAGCGCGGCGGACACAAGAGTTGTCATTCACATGGCCTTACCTCCTCCACCGCTGTCAAAGCCAACAAATAAACGATAACGGTAACCGAAAACCGAATAAAATAGATTTTAATAAGAAAAATAGTAGAAGAGAAGACCGACTTCTGTGATCTCTATATACAGGCTACTACAACGTAATTGATGTCCTCCAATCAAGAATATTTTAAACATAAAAAATAAAATCCATTTTCCTGATCAGGTATTGCTCGATCATTATTCGTCAAGAAGAGGATGGATGACTGTGACGAACGTAGTGATTGTCGTGAAAGAACGAGTGTTCTTGGAAATTGTTTTGGGGAGCTCAGGAGGGATGGAATTATGTGAGTGGATGCCGATTGCCTCCGCTATGGCCAGCATTAGGCAGACGGCTACGAGTAGTATGAAGGGGTTGGAATGATTCAGACACACTAATCACGTGAGTAAATTCTACAAAGTAGAAGCGACCAGATTAACTTATTAGTCTATCGAACTGAGGGGAGCTCATGAATTCGTTCAGATAAAAAAAATGTTCGTTTCTGAGGAGTACGAACAGAAAGGGGCCGAGAAATCTTAGAGTATATAGTACTACTACTAAAAATAATAGTCGTTAAGTTTCCACTACCTTTTGTTCGCCGCACCTTGGTAGCTAGACATTGGATCAGAACTATTTCTGGTCCAAATGCAGAGAGGTTTTTGAAATGAGTCAGTCCACTATGGCGCTCGGTGGATAGTTCGCCAATGGGAGTTCAGTCTAACCGAATTGGTAGTTTGATCCCATCTTTTTCCATAGTTAATCGTTAATTTTGGTGCACCCAGTGAAGCACATTTTAGAACATTTTCCGTTTTTCAACGACACTCTGGATAAATTTTCATATCATGCACAAGTCATTTGAACTGGTCAAT